CGTAGGCGATGACTCTCTCCGTGTCACCCACCCGCTCCGCGAGCACCGAACCGACTGCAGAGTCGGATGCATCCGTGTACAAGACGAATGTACCACGGAACGTAGGGAGGGCTAACACTGGAGGTGCAGTCAGCGCCTGCTTCAGACTCTCAAAAGCTGCTTCAGCTTCCGGCGTCCACGTCAGGTGGTCACCCACCACCTTGGCTTCCCTCAGCGGCTTCGTGAGATCCATGTATTGTGGGACAAAACGGCTGTAATATCCGCACAATCCGAGGAAGCTTTTCATGCCATCTTCCGTCTTCGGTGGAGCCCAGTCGAGTATCTTCTGGATGTTATGTGGGTCCGGTAGGAGTCCCTCCTTTGCGACCCGGTGACCGAGGAACGTAACTTCGCGCTTTGCGAGGCGGCACTTTTCTGGTTTGAGCTTCAGCTTCGCCGACCTCACTCGCTTGAAGACATCACGGAGCGTTGCGATGTGCTCGTCCTCGGATCTGCTTGATATGATGATGTCATCAAGGTAGACTAAACAGCGTTTCGAGTCCAGACCCGCAAGCACCAGTTCCATGAGTCGCTGGAATGTGGCTCCAGCATTTTTGAGACCCATGGCCATCACCCTGAACTGATGGAGTCCTTTGCCCGTGGAGAACGCCGTCTTTTCCCGGTCCTCTGTGGCCAGCGGGACCTGCCAGTAACCGGTCGCCATGTCGAGCGTCGTGTACCACGTTGCCCCCGCTAGGGTATCCAACGCCTCGTCGACCCTCGGCAGAGGATGCGCACATCCGCGAGTTCGGCTGTTGATCGCGCGGAGATCGACGCAGAAGCGGAAACTTCCATCTTTCTTTCTGGCCAGGACGACTGGGGAGCACCAAGGACTTGTACTCTCTTCAATTATTCCATCTTTCATCATCTGCGTCTTCTGCATCTCGACTTGCTCGCGGAGTTTAACTGGTACCCGCCGTGGTCTCTGCTTCACGGGAGCCTCCTCCCCTGTGTCGATGTGGTGTTCGAGCAAATCTGTCTTGCCGATATCACCCGCATACTGACTGAAGATGTCTGCATATTCGCTGAGAATGGTTCTGAGCTTCTCCTTTCCTTCCGCTGAGAAGTCAGATCCGTCGACATCAAGTACTTCTGTCACCGTCGTATTCTGACGCCTTTCTGTTCTGCAGCTCACATCATCAACGTCATCATCATCACTGTCCTCAACGCCTCCGTCTGCAGCCAGGCACAACTTGTACTCGCAGTCCTTCTCGTTTGTAGCATCATAAAATGTCCCTAGGTCACTGCCTCTGAGAACACGGACTTCTTCAGACCCAACATTTGTCAAAATGATCGAGACGCACCCGTCGTCGTCTGCAACGACCAGAGCCCTTGGAGTCAGGAGTCCCTCCCGCTCCGCTACGGTTGATGGCTCGAATATCCCGGCTGCACCCATTTCGTCACTCTGCACGCCGTCCACTCTCTCCAGCTTACCGGCTACCACGCTCTCTGACCGTGCTGGAATGACGACGTTCGACAGTAATCGCACTCGCGCACGTCTTGGTCGAACCTGCTCCCGGCTCGGCAGGGGAACGCTCATGGTTCCAATCTTGAATGAGCCAGCGTCGTCGTCGATGACCGTGCGATGCATGCACGTGAAGTCGCGACCTAGTATCACGTCGTACACGAGGTCGTCTGCCACGGTCACTACCGGGCATCGGAAGCTGACTCCATCAATGCATAATGAGAGGTTTTCCAGCTCACCAACTACCTGGAGGGAGGTACCTCCCGCTCCGATAGCATTGCGCGCGCTCGGGCTGAGCCGGATTGCTCTGAGTGCTGGGTTCCCCTCATAAAATCCTCTTCGCATCATGGTGAAGTCGGCACCAGTGTCCACCAGCGCCCATGTCGGAGCGCCGTGAATGACGACCCGAACGGCCGACGCCGTGAGTGGGGACGCTTTCGAGAGGACTGGGACCTGTCCCACGGCTCCAGTCCGGTTCAGTTTTCCTGATGCGCACCGGGGCCCCGCCGGGGATCAGCAGCTCTTGTCTCGGAGTGGCCTCCGCCAGTGCTGCCACCCTGGAAGTATTGGCACCCCGCCATCCAGTGGCCCTGCTGCCCGCAGCATAAGCAGAGCGGCAGCGCGCGCCCATCCCTTGTCGACGGCAATGAGATGGGGCAGTGTCGCTTGAGGTGACCCAATTCTCCACAGCCGAAGTATCTGAAGCTAGGTGAACCACGGCTACGCTCGGGGCAGTCTCGCTGAAAATGACCCGGCTGCTCGCAGCGGTAGCACTGGGGAAGTCGGCGAGACTTACTCGCATCAGTTGTCGTCTTCGGCGCCATTGTGATGGCCGATATCGACTCGTGTAGCCCGCGAATATGATCTTCGATGGCTGTGAGCCGGTTGTTGTCCGTCACAGTCTTTTCTGCTTGACCCGCGGTTGCTTCACCCCCGACCGGGCGGACCGCCCCGATGACGTCGATCTCATGATTTCGCACTGCCTTGATCGTCTTCCTCGTCTCCTCGAATTCTTTACTAACGCGTACCGCGTCAGTCAGTGTGGATACGTTTTGGCTGATTAACCTCTCTTGCAATTGCGTGTCACGGAGGCCACAGATGAATCGGCCGCACTGGAATCCCTCCATGGCGCTGTGGTCGCTGGGCAGAGCCGGCTGGGCTAGCCCACTCAGCTCTCTGATCCTGGCTGAGAAGTCTTCAACAGACTCCGAAGGTGATTGGCAAACTCGGTTGAGTTCGGCATGAGCCTGCAACGTGCTTATTTGCCGACCGAATCGACTTTTCAGTGCTTCAACCACCCTGCCGTAGTCCTTCCGTGACTCTTCGGTGAGTGACGCGAATGTGTCCAGTGCGACTCCGTCCAAAAGACCCACCATAGCCGCCAGCCGGTCCCCGGCTTTCATGCTCGCCGTCTGAGCTTCGAATGGGCAGAACCATTTCTGCCACACTTCCCCCGACTCTCCACTAAATTTCGAAGCTCTTGAAAGGAAAATGGTAGATAAATCCATAGTTTGTTATACTGAACTCTACTGGAGAGAACCTCTCGCCACCCAAAGTCTCTACTCACCGGCTCCGTCCACCTTTTCCACCGTGAGCTTGCGTAGGCCGTCACAGAACTCTCACAGCAATCTTCTTTCTTAAAAACTCATATGCAGCCCATTTACGTTATTGGTCCTACCGACCGCGCCAAAATATGTTAGGGCCAAGTAAAGCTGCATATACCACGACACTGTGTATTGTGCTTCCAGCGACCGAAGACCAAGCACGGACACGGCGACCCGCCGACTGACCCAGTCTGGTCACGGTCGCGCCCTTATATAACCACGGCACAGAGCGCATGCGCGATGACCGCGCGGCGGTCAGGCGGCTCGCCGGCCGGACGGCCGGGCCGCCGACCCCGCCCTGTTCCACGGCCCCACACGGCCGGTGCGCGGTCACAATATCCCAACACTTTCACCTGGTATACCGCGCAGGAGACGGCGCCGTGCCTGTCTCACTATCTCAGCGCCGTGCTTTACCGCCCTGGCGATCCCCGCGGCGCTCTCCCCAGAGTGAGACAAATGCGCCCCTTCCGCTCGGCTAATGTCGCTGATAGTGAGACGAAGTGCCGCCTCACACCACAGCCGTCTGCGCCGCCGCCCCCGTCCCGGCACCAGACGCTCGGCGCGTCCCTTCCTGCCACCGGTAACGTGCGGTGATTGTGATGATGGGCGGGAGCCGGTAGTATGTGGCAATTGTGATGACGGGATAGCCGTTACCGAGACCGCGTTCGGTTGCTTGCGGCAACTGTGAGAATGGACCAAGGCCGGGCAGGATCAGCGATTGTGCGCATATGGGCTGCGAGCAGGAAGGAGCGGCGCAGCCTCCCACTGGGACCGTCCTGTCGAAAACAGCATCAGCACCGCACGCCAAATTGGCGCATCTGCCCCGGAGGTAAACACCGCCGCGCCCGGCGCGCCGGCCGCCTCCGCCCCCGCCCACGGCGGTGGGTCGGATCACGGCGCCGCCGCTCGCGTTACCGGCTCATTAGCGGCTGATGCGGCGGATGTGCGACGAATGCGCCGAGTTTGGCGCAGGGGTGGGCGGCGCGGGTGGGCCGCTGGTGCAGGAAGGTGGTCTGCGGCCTGTAGGGTGTCACCTGCGATGGGTGTAAGGTGTTACCTGCGGTAGGTGCGAGGTGTCACATGGAGTCGATATAGAGTTTCGTGCGGAAGTGGTGACGTGCACAACAGCAGATGTACTGTGTGGCAGTAATTATCTATTAATTAGACATAACATACAATAATGGAGAGCAGTAGTCTGCGCTGATTATGTGGTCCTACAAACATATACCTACATACTCGCAGGCATTACCGTCTGTTGTAATGTTTTTTGATTTGTTTTTTGTTTTTAGGTCCTACGATGATGCGATGTTATCCATTTTCGAATGCGCTGGAAAGTGTTATCTACTGGTTATATTCATTAGTTTCAGGCTTTTCGCTGCTTGGACTCAGCGTTTTGAAGGCTAATTGTGTATTGTGTAACCTAATTATTCAGAATCTATTTTGGGATACTATTCTGTCTTTGTCTTTGTCCCTGCTATGGGATGACACGGTTACGAAAGTCGATCAAAATACTAACGGTGATCAAATGAAGTCATTGCGGCTGGCCCTGTAATGAGAAACTTTCAACTAATTGTGCTAAGGTTGTGAAATTCCCGGCACTTAGGCAATAGGCATGCTAAGTAGTTAGGACTGGCAAGGTGCTCGATGATGCAATTGTCCACACTTAGCAGTCTGCAGTATCTCAGGGAATTCACGCTGTAAATTGCCGGAATGGTTGCAGGTGACCAGCAGTGAGAGGACGTATTGTTCTCGCTATTGAAATGAGACACCAAAATGCACAATGTCAGAGACCCGTAAATTTTGGAATTAATTTGCCGTAATCAAAACCATCATAAGTAAGTACCTCTTCGATGCGTGTCTTGTCTCTCACCACTCGCTTTTGCCCTCCTCAGATCGCCCACTACAAGGTACCGCGCTACATCGAGTTCCGCGACGACTTCCCGAAGACCGTCACCGGCAAGATCCAGAAGTTCGTCATGCGCGACACCATGACACGCGAGCTGGGCCTGAGTCAGTAGACTCCCCTGTCTCTGTAGTCGGACGCCGGCGGTGGGCGCTGGGGGGGGGGGGGGGGGGACCGGCGGCGGTCGCCGACGTTACTAGGTCGAGGTGTAACAGCGCTAAGCCTCTGAGTCCATTGTTTGTGGCCCGGTGAGCCGGTGGCTTACCGACCGGCCACCCCGGCTCGGATACAGGCTAGTCGGAGCCAGCCTGGGCTAGGTAGCCGTGGCTGGGCTGGATGGCCGTAAACGGGCGCTATATATGCTATGTTGGTGGTTGCTAGTAAGACGGTCAATCAGATAGTACACGGTCAGAACTCTTGTTAGGATGGTGAAAATTGGACGGTTGCATCGTTACACAAACGTGTGAAAGAGAGTATACTATAAACGGATAGATTTGGGTGGCATTCCGTTTCATAAAGCATGTTGACACTTGACAGGTAAGCAGCGTGTATCGTGCATGAGCGTTAAGTAATGCAGTGGTGTGGGCATGTGTGAGGTTGTTTCTTCCTCCCTCGGCACTCATAAGGCTCTACGGAATCACAGCTTACGATTGATGTTTCTCGAGCAGTTGTGTTTCTGGTATCGACTGTATGACCGGAGGGTTCTTCTGAGTAAAAACCTGCAGAATAACTAGTTCCGCCTTGATAATGGCTTTACTGATAAATTATTTGCACCAATATGCGATCTATATCATTGCGCTTTGTACTCGTAACCTACTTTGGTGTGGCTGAATACAACTGATGCTTGTTTTGTTGTTGATGCTGGTTACTGTTGTTGACACTGGACCTTTGCTGTCACTGGTCTCCGTTGTCACGGATTCCTACTGTCACTAATCTCTGCTGGCACCGGTCTCTGCTGTCACTGATCCATACTGTCACTGCTCCATGCTATCACTGGCCTCTATCGTCACTGGTCCCTGTCGTCAGTGCTCCCTACACTGTAAAAAAAGTTTAGCATTTGGGGTACTAACGGCTGCTATTCGTAGCACCTTTTAGCGTCAAAAGAACCCTACGACGTATTTACAAAGAAGCATGGTGCTAATACTGTGCTAATGATAGCTAACATTCCCATCAAATATTATAAGTTTAGATCACCTATTCTTCTACTGAGCTTAACGTCTACTTCTGCTAGTACCCAGTCCATCAGTGAGTGCTCTTTCAAGCTGGATTTCTAATTAGAACCATTTTACGTGTTTTAGAAGTTGGTAATGCTGAATATGGTGCTTACGTTAGTATCACAATAGAACCGGACATGCTTACAGAGGAAACAAATTTGAAATTGGCGCCAAAGAAAGTAGCTAAGCCCTGCTTTACAAATCTCTGGGAGTCTTATCACCAGCCCTTTAGCACCTTTTGACGGCGCAGAGCGATATGCGCATGCGCGTGCCAGCTGTTTCCGGCCACGTGTTGCGCCATTTTAGTGGAGTCCGTTGGTCGTGGTGGGAGTGTGTGCACGTGCTCCGGTATATGAAGTGAAATGAAGTGAAGTGAAGTGCTCCGGGCACATGCCACCGAGTGATAGCTCTGGAATGATAGCTTAAAGCAGCTATTATCGGTGGAATCCGTCGTGCGTGGCATGGGAGTGCGTGCCCCTGCTCCGGGAGGCAGTGAGGTGGAGGGAAGTGCAGTGCAGCAGTGCAGTGAAGTGAAATGAAGTGCTCCGGGGCCGGGTGGTACATGAGCATTTGCCACCGACACATGCCACCGACACCGACGTTGATCGACTTTGGTGAGTCTGACACGTTGTATCTTTTGATATTATATCTTATATTGTTTAAGTGCTTCATATTCCGATTTTGGCAAATCGCGCTTCTTGGTCTGAAGGAAAGTTGTGTTGTTTGCGAAAATAGCTCCCAACAGAAAAAAAAATCTTGGAACTGATCCAGTTTTTTTTTGCTCCAGGCATGGGGCCTGGTCAGTTCTTCCGTCGACTACCACTTACAATGGAGGACAACTACGACAACAACACGGGGTCTCCGGTTCCGTCTATCACTAAACGCCGTCTGGTCGTGGATGAGGTCGAACTTATGGCCATGAACGGAACGTCGGTTCAACGACCCCCCCCCCCCCGCCTCCCCCAGTCGATCTCGCGTTAATCGTCGGTCACTGCGAGTGTGCAGGTATATGAGCGACCTTTCGTTATTTCCCGTGCGTTTGTTTGTGTATATATTTATATTTGTTTTTCATGCAGATGAAATGAAGTGTTAATAAATGTTCAATTATTATTTTTTAATTTTATAATGTGTTGGATGCTTGAAAGATGCACTTACACGGGAATATTGCAGAATGCAAAACACAATCATTGAGACTTGTAGTTATCACTTATCTAGGATATAACCTTTTTTGCACGTCTTTTCGGCCTTACACAATTTCCTTTTTGGTAATTGATTAGTCCTTTTTGCAGTAACTAGTGAAAGTATGTGCTGCTAAAGAAAGCAGTTTTTGCGAACTTTTCATGCAGCAGCTTTAACTAGTATAGATATTCTACTTTCAGCCCCAATGCTTTCGTTAGCATTATTCTACTTGTCGTGGGGTAACAATAGCGCTAAAACGGTTCATATGTGAGTACGGAAGGTACTAACTGCATGCTATTCTTAGCACCTTTTAAAGTTTAGCACCGCTAGGGTACTGAAAATTGGTCTAGCAGGTGTAGGGTACTACATTTAGTACACGGGTGCTAAACAAATATGGGTACTTATATTAGCACCTTGATACTAAACTAGATCTCAGTTAAGTACGAATAAAATGCTTAGCTTAGCACCGCTAGGGTACTGAAAATTAGTCAATTGAAAAGTACCTCTATGGTGCTAAACTTTTTTTACAGTGTACTGTCGTCACTGGTCTGTGCTGTCGTTGCTGATCCCTGCTGCCGTTGCTGATCCCCGCTGTCGTCACTGGTCTCTGTGGCCACTGTTCCCTGCTGTCGCCACTGATCCCTGCTGTCGTCACTGGTCTGTGCTGTTGCCATTATTCTCGGTGGTCACTGGTCTCTGCCGTCACGGGCACCCGTCGCCACCTCTGCCATGGGTGGCGGCGGAGTGGTAATTTGGCCAGTTGCCCGGCTCGTTACCGCCTGTTTATTGATTCGCCACTCGCCAACATCGCGCTGACCTTCCTTTGGCCATTGTTGATCCGTCAAGGAAAATAGTGTTCGGGACCATGCGATGTTTGGCTGTGCAAGATAAAGACAGGGGTAGTACGACGTTTTATGCCTAAACCCTAGTCGTATTCGGATGTCAGTGCTACCCGTTTCCTCTCGGCATCGGTGTAACTTGTGCCTTTAAAGTGTCTTCCGCAGGCTTGCAGTAGTAGCTGATGAACATTACAAAGCACTAAATTCAGAGTGATTGGTAGTAATGTGGCATCGGACATCCTTTGAGCGACTTTATTGACTTGACCTTAATTAACTACGCCAGCGATATATTGTGGATGATCGGAACCCGTAGTCAATTTTCGCACTCATCGTGTAATGTAATTAATTTCGCGCTGTTTTGTATAGGCATTGGGCAAAGCTAACAGTCAATCTTCCTAAGCGAACTGTGGCTGCCTGTCAGATGTCGGAACCTCTTGTTTATAACAAATTTTCTCAATTATTAGCATGTCATCTATCTAACTAGAAAATGTACAATCCGAGGCTGAACTATTTCGTCTCAACTGACGAAATTCATTCTGCTTATGTGTAAGATGTTTTCTGTTGTAAAATACTTACTACTGATACTGGGCCCAGCGCATCGTTTGCACTTTTGTTAACAACTGGAAAATGCAAAAAAAAAATCGATGCGAGAATCGATTAATATAGTTGAACATGACCTTGGCCAGCTCGCATCAGAATATAGAAAAACAGCCCAGTGGTCACCTTGGAATAGTTATGCAAATTTGACTCCAGGTGAAATCGTTGGGACCTGTTTCGGGCACGGTGAGCAGGTCTCCTTTTCGCACTGGGTCCGTGTGGGGTTCAGCCGGCGCGGCACCTCTCCGCAGTGGGTGGGGACCGGTGACCGCCGCGCCACTGACGATTGAAAGCGGACAGCGGCCGTATCGATTGGCGGACCACGGGGAGCCGGAGCCGTCTGTCCGCGCTCGACAGGCCGCTCGAGTGAGATGGAGTGAGAGTTAGAGGAGGGAAGCTCTGTCTATTAATGTGCGGTTACCTGCGGGGTGGTCTGGAAATGGCGAATGGGGTTTGGGGTATCTGGTGGACTTTTGTCGCTTCGCGATGCAACGAGTTTATTTCTATTGGGCATGCGTTATAAGTGGTAAGATAGTATTGAAAATCAGTATGTGCAAAACAATGGTCATTAAGTGTTCCGAAAAGTCCATGGAGCTCAACCATGACAATTGATGATGCTACACTTTTGCACGGGAGGGAAGCTGTGGGCTATAATTTGGCATGCTTCCTATAACTCAGTCACATGTTATAAAATCCGATGAGGGCTTGTATGACTTCCACTTAATGGCGCGTTGATTACAGGGAGTAAGGGGACTCGTGCTTCCCTTTACCCACCCAAAAAATGTGTGCTTGATACAGTTTGTAGTTTGAGAAGCTTTAAGAAGTTATTATCCTCTCTGCCTTCCTCTTCTCTGCGCCAGCCGTGCTGGGCGGCGTACCGTGTCTTCGGCCGTCGGTCCGCCCCCGGGTTCGGCCGGTCGGTCGGCGGACCAATTATCGCCGCGGGGGTCGGTCATTGGGGGGACTTCGCCGTCGGGGTCCGTGCGGCCTGTGGTCACGAAGACTCCAGGTGGAGTGCTGGGAGGTGTCAGAGGGAGAGGTGGGATATGGAGCGTTTGCTGGATATCTTCTTGTGGTGTGCTGGCGTAATGGATCACAACTCTAGCTCAGTGGGTCAACCAAACACGTGAATAGATGTACCGCCCTGACGTCAATCGTTGGACTGCCTTATCAGCTCTCGTATCCTTCTTCTGAAACGATTCCGGCATTATTGTTTTCGTTCTAAATACAGCATAATGCTGAAATAAAATCACATGGTCTGTAATACGACCGAAATCCATCCATAATCCGCCATCGTTTCCGTTGCAGTCCCGCTCCAGTCCTCCGTCTTTGTTTGTAGCTATGCTAGAATCTGTGTTTGTGTCTGTGTTTGTACCCCTTGTCCCTCCATCTGTGTTTGTTCTGAGTTGTAACTTGTATCGATGTTAGTATCGTGTTTGTCCCCACCGTCGCTCCACCGCCAGTCGGCGATCGTCCCGCTGCCGTTGGCGGTTTCCGCGGCGCTCTCCGCGGATCCTCTGACCTTCCGCCGGAGCCGGCCGCCGCGCTGCTGCCAGACGGTGTCGGCGGCAGCACCCGGCTCCCTGCCAGGCCGCGCTGCGCCGGGCGGCACATGGCACCGCCGAGCCGGGCTGATCGCCCCCGAGACGGGGCCAGCGGCACGACACGGCGGCAAAAACTGCGTGTTGTGCTGGAGTGTCGTCAGGCAGCCAGCGAGGTCGCCGCTGATGGTGTCGGAAGTGGTGATAGGGGAAACACTTTGGTAACATCCCGTGCCTGGAGATGGGTAATTGCTGACCGTGCTCTTCAGGGCGTATTTTAAGGGATTTTCACTGGGTCGGCAATCACATTTAGGGGCGGCATTTTGCACTCATAGGGGCGGCACTTGGCATCTGAGGGGGGCGCCATACCTAATGATATTTAATGACAAAAAAGACACGTTCGACGGTTCTTTTATAACTCCTTCTAAGTAATGATTTCAGATTCAACCTACCTAAGCTCAGCGGTATTACGTCTATTTTTCCGGGATATAAGTACTAAGTAGTATTTCTCGTGTCATAATGCGACAACTGAACTATAATTTGACTTTACAAAAATTAATTTAAAAATTTTACCTGAGGTCAAGTTCATGAACTTTCGGCTTGTTTCGTGCTTTCGGCGAATTTCGTCAACATTCATTTCTAGCGCTGCGCGCTGGGCGTAGCAACGCCTTTTCGACTGCTAAGTGATTATCTGTCTGTATTGAGGTAAATATTACTATGTTTATAGAATCTATGTAGAAAATAGGACCAGTCTATGCACACCATCTGAAGTCTGGATTTAGTTGAACCAGTAGGCTGTTGATAAATTGTAAGCTGTCAAGGTTGTAAAATGCCCTCTCAAAAAGAGCAGATTGAAAAGCTTACTGCTGAGAATGATGAGCTGAGGGAGCTGGTAGAAGCATTAACCCAACGCCTCAAAAAGCTTGAGGAATCTCATGAGACATCTGATGTGCGTCACTCAGAGACGCTCGTACGTCTTGAGGCAGTGGAAGAGAACCTCTGTCAGGTCAAGACTGAGTGTCTTGAGCTCAGACAGGACCAGTCCAATCTTATGATTGATCTTGAACTGCAGCAGATGTATTCCCGTAAACAGACCCTGCTGATCACAGGCGAGGCCGTCAAAAATCCAGAGAGGGGTGAGGATGTGCGAAAGCTTGTTCTATCTCTGCTCAAAGAACATCTCGGCATCAGTGACCTGGACCTGAGGAGCATCTGTGCATGCCACAGACTTAAAAACCCAAAAGTCATCCTGGTTCGATTTGTATCACTCGATGACAGTGATCGTGTGTACAGAGCCAGGACCAAACCCAAGAAAAGGGGACTCATGATATTTGAATCTCTGACATCTGAGAGGCTGGCTGTGATCCATTACCTGAAACAGCTGAAGCAAGAGGAAAACTCCCCGGTCCTATCTTACTATACCCAGTCAGGGAGAATCTATGTCCGTACATCTGAGGATAGGGAGATCAGACCAACTGAGATTCCAGTTGGGGCTAGTAATGCAGAAATCAGAGACATGTGCCTTGGCAAAAAAGTTGATCTGACCCCAGTGGGAATCTGTGACCAGTTCCGCTCCATCCGCTGTGGGAACGCGCCTGGACATCCTAAGCGGCCACAAAGTGGCCCTGCTAAAGATGCCCTGGGTTGGTCAAAGGTGCCAGCCAAACAGAAAAAGTCTGCCGATGCAGCTGCCCGACCAGTCTCAGGCCAGACCTAGCTCAAGGAGCTGGTCCAAATTTTGAACTAGGATACTGAAAGCTGCATTGTACTGAGTTGTGACATCTGTAAGTCTAGATGCTGTGATTGATGGTCCTTTCAAATGAATTTTTCTTTTAATATCGTAGAGGAGTAGCCTTGTGCTCGCTATCTTTGGGCGGTCCAGGGATTGGCCTGGCATCGGTGAATGTATTTCGGGGGCGTTCCTTCTTCGGTTCGGGGGGTTGGCTGTGCAAGCCACAGAAATGTACATTTCTGTGGCTTGTATGGTTGACTTTTTGAGCTGGGGAGGGGGCGTTTCCGGGGTGTATTCATTGATGTTGGGCTGATTTTTTGGATTGTTTGGGGATGGTGAGCGTGGGGTTGTTCTTCTGCGATATTCAATAATGCTGCTCATTTTAGTACTTCGCCATCTTATTACACTTAACGTGAATTTTTCTTTTCTATGTGCATAGACTGGTTCTAACAGTGACAGGGATCACCTGTTTACCTGTCTACTAATTCTCATTCTATTTTCTTTTTCATTTAATTTTCTTCTTTTTTACTAAGTGCGTAGGCTAAGCTTTCAACTATCTCGTTGCAAGGAGCTTTTTGTGTTATTGATGAGGCTACAACTCCCAGACTGGTGCCCAATGACTCGCATGGAATAATTGACACTGAACTGACATACCCAGAGCTCCAATCTGTAGCTCACAACTGCTCGACATTGACAACCCAACAAGCATCATGTGTCATTCAACCTGAATACCCATCTTTTATACACATCAATTCACAGTCACTTAAGAGAAACCACGATGATATTGTATCTTTAATTCATAAAGAGGGGCTCAAAGCAGACTTCATAATGATTTCTGAGACTTGGATTGAACCTGACCTCAGGAATTCATACAATATCGTGGGATATGAATCAGTTCATTCTATACCAGAAGGGATATCTAGAGGCAAAGGTGCTGCCATCTACATTAAGAAAGAGTTGTACACTTTCTGCACAATCATGGACTCTTACTGTGCTAAGGAAAAGGAATATCAGACAATTTTTATCCAAATTAGTCCTCCAAACGGTACTCCATTCATTGTTGCAACTACATACAGGTCACCTTCTTATTCTCTTGATGTATTTATGCCATATCTTGAGAACACTTTGTCCAATCTTAGCCATTTGAACAGACCCTGTTTCTGGGGTGGAGATTTCAATGTTAATTTGTTCATGTATAACGACTGTGCTGATGCAAAATCATTTCTTGACTGTTTCAGCTCATATGGTCTCTCTCCCACAATAACAGTTCCTACTAGGGTAGCAAATGCTCCCCCATACAGCAGAACGCTCATTGACAACATTTTCTGTAATTGTCTTGACCTGGTTAAAGTAAACGGAATTATTCATGCAGGTATTGCTGACCATGAAGCTGTTCTGTGTACGAGCAACTTACCCACCCTTGGGTTACTATCGACTCCCATGCCAAGGCACAGAGGATTTGACTATGGGCGAATAGAAGAATTAAAATGTAGAGTAACTGAAAAACTTAGGGGGTTTACAGATCTTAATGATCCGGATATGGCAGCAGAGCAATTTGTTATGTCCATCAGTGAAGAAACAGCTAAGCTGTCTTCTGTAAAAACGTCCAGGCAGTTCACACCTATTCAGCCCTGGATAACACCAGGCATCCTGCGAAGCATTAGCAAAAAAAATAAGCTCCTGAAACAGTTTCATTCCAATCGTAACCATGAAACTCAGCTAAAATTTAGACAGTATAGAAACATGCTTAGGCTAACCATCCGTCGTGCAAAAAAGAACTACTTCCAAAATCAATTTCGTAAACATGCCCACAATCCACGGATGCTTTGGGCCGACTTACGGGAAGCCATACGCCGAAACAAAACTTCCTCAGAATTACCCGATCAATTTGAAGTGAATGGTATTCTTTCTAACAACCACTCACAGATTGCTGATGCGTTCAACACTCACTACAGTAATGTTGGACCAAAATTAGACCTTGCTCTGGGACCTGCAGCCATTGACCCAATGCAATACATGAACGATGTTCAGGCACCTGAGATGATGTTGTTTAACCCCACCACGGAGTGGCACGTTGGTAAAACTGTGACGGAGCTTAGAGAAGTGGGTGCTGGCCTTGGTGGCATCAGCACTAAGCTGATAAAATCCTTGCTCCCAGTAATACTAACTGAACTCACTCATCTTATTAACTTATGTATAACTAAATCAATTTTTCCAAAAAAAATTTAAACTTGCTCTAATAACGCCCATATATAAAGCTGGCACCCGTACGAACTTCTCGAACTATAGACCAATATGAATACTGACAGCTTTATCTAAAGTTCTTGAATCTATAATGTATGACCAGTTGATAACATTCATCAGTGCCAATGACATTCTTTATGATTTCCAATTTGGGTTTAGACAAAAACATTCAACTTACATGCCAATCTCGTTACTTCATGATTTCATTACTGAAAACTTGTCTGTCAGACGTAAAGCTGCAGCAATATACCTGGACCTTGCTCGTGCCTTTGATACCGTAAATATTGATATTCTGCTTCGCAAACTATCTAAATACGGCGTTGGAGATAGTGCTTATCAACTTCTATCATCATGTCTAACGTCAAGGTCACAAAAACTTAAATACAAAGACATCATCTCAGGTGCCAGGGACGTCACCTGTGGTGTACCGCAGGGCTCGCTTCTGGGACCATTGTTATTTCTTACTTATATTAAAGGGACCCTCCCACCTTCAAAAAAGTTAATGAATTGGCACGATAGTGATGTCGCTCGGTTCAGAAAGAGCGAAAACGAATATCTACCAAATTTCATCGAAAAATATTCACCGGTTTTCAAGATATTAGACTTTTACTTTTGTTTACTTTTTGGGATCTCCGCTGTTCCTAGCGACTTTATTTGAAAGTGCGGCATTTGTTGCGCGCAAAGCAGGCATATACCACCGCGTGCTACCAAACGTTTTAGTAAAAGATTTAAAAATAGTTAGATCTCCGCTGACGTCACAAATTCTAAGGGGGCATACCAATGCACTAGCCCCTTAGAATCCGAAAACTGCAAGTTTGAAATTCCATATCTCCGAATTAAAGCATTTGTCGATGTTGTGAGTGCCCAAACCGGTATTTGCAGGCCATGGCCACCAATTTGGCTATCTCAACTCAAAACTAATGTTAAGGTGGGAGTGTCCCTTTAATGATTTACACGCTGCCTGTCAAGAAGCCAAAATATTCCTCTTTGCTGATGACACTGTATTGCTATATTCTGCTCCAACTCTGGCTGAGCTGCAAAGCATTATTTCAAGGTCGTTTCCTAAGATACATAAGTGGCTTCAGGCCAATAGATTATCTCTCTCAATACCTAAAACTTTCTATCAAATCTACTCCTCTCAAGGGACTGAGCCAGATTTAACAATTCCGGTTGCAAACTCATGTCTTAAACGAACTAAAACTGTAAAATATCTCGGTATTCTCATTGATGAGAACCTAAAATTCAAATCGCACATAAACAAAGTATCAGGAATTTGTAGTAGAAATTTAGGTATTCTTTACAGAGCCAGATACTTACTTACCCGAGACTTACTGGTTCTCCTATATAATTCACTAGTACAACCCTACCTTATGTATTGTTCACATATTTGGGGCTCGAACTATCCGACAACCCTCAAACCTATTATAACAGTCCAGAAGCGAGCCATTCGCCTGATTATGAACAAGGAGCCCAGAACATCTACATCCCCACTCTTCAGAGAGTTGCGAATGCTGAAATTCAACGATCTAGTTAAGTATCAAATCCTATTGGTTCTACATGACCGTCTATTTGGTCATCTTCCTAACGCGGTAGCTGACAGACCTAGCCATTAACCATGACTCCCCAAGTAGAACGAGACGTACGCAACACTTCCGAGAGCAGAGTAGTACAAGTGGTAATATTCCCAACCACAGACTTACTAACTACCGACGATATGTACTATTCCATGCGGGCCCATTGTTGTGGAATGAAGTTGTAGCCTCACGAATTCCCAATATTAATGATATTCCGGCATCTAAAGCCTTATTTAAAAAATGCATTAAAATCATATTTATTGATACTTATTAACCTGTCTTGCATACTCTCTATATACTTGATACACACCCACACCCGTCTTGCGGTACTCCGGAGCAAGGCGAGCGGCTAGCCAATCTGTATCTTCTTTTCTCTTTCTTTTTTTTCTCTCTCTTCTTTTTTTTTAACTACATCTTATCACCACGGTAACCACAAATCCACCTGTGCATAAATTATCATTTATCACCCTGTCGTTAAATGATTTAATCAAATAACTAATTTGTGCTTTGTGTAGTGGCCACGGGAAGCCTTGTGACCTTTGCCACACACAATTGCACGTACAGCCCGGAATTTATCATTAGCACATTGAATTTTGTTTATATATTTTTGCAATACATGTATATCAAGCAAAATCAGTGTTAAGAAGCCATTTGTTCGCTATCTATCAATCCTATCCCCCCCCTCTACCCCATGCCCATGACATCACCATCTATATGTCCATTACATACTTACCTCACTCCCTGTTTCCAGCACCCTCCGGACGCTGCTCAACTGTCGGCTCACTCTGCTGCCTGGGCTTACGCTGCCCTGCGGAGCTCAGCCACGGGCGACGGGATGTCAGCTCCAACTGTCGCGGCCTGTGCTGCCGATCGGGCCTCAGTCCCTGCCGGCGCCGGATGGGACGCCGACGTCGGCCGCTGCCGATCAGTCTGTGGTCCGCCGATGATCGGACTCGTGCTGGACTCGTGCCATAACTACCTCCGATGTGACTCGCGGCAAGCTGCCGACGTCCATCTCAGTCGCCAGAATGCTGCCATCTGGGCCCTCGTTGCTGTCGGCGAGAGTCGCACTGCGAGTGGCCTAACCTCGACCTCCACTGACCTCGGTCCCTGCCGACACCGGTGGGACGCCACGTCGGCCGCTGCAGATCCGGCTCTGATCCACCGCCGATCAGACTCGTACCATACCTACCTCCGACTTGATTCTCAGCAAGCCACCAGCGTCCGTCTCAGTCGCTCGTCACAGTCACCAGGATGCTGCAATCTGGGCTCTCATTGCTGACGGCGCGAGTCGCTCTGCGAGTGGCCTAACCTCGACCTCTGCTGACCTCGGACCCTGCCGACGCCGGTGGGATGCCACGGCGGCCGCTGCAGATGATGACCCTGCTCTGACTTGACGCTCCACTGGTCGTGGGTGCTGCCGGCCCCGCCTCAAGCGCCGGTGATGCTGCCGTCTGAATGCCGGGCTAGGCGCCCGGCCTCGATGTGCGCGAAACAAGCCCAAGCCCCCGCCCCTATGACCCATCCGGGCCAACCCGGGACTGGTCCCTCCTGTGAGGGGCCGGTCGGCCGGCCGGGCGTGCGGAGCGCCGACCTAGACGGGTCGACGCTTCGCTCGCCCGGTCGGTGGTTAGGGGGCACCGTCCGGGGTTGCTTGCCGGGCGGTGCGGGCGGGGGCTGGCGGCCCGCCTGGAGCGCCGGGGAGGTAGCCATCAGATCTCCCCGGCTGGGGAAGCATCCCCCAGCTCTCCCCAGGGCCGTGGACGGCACCGTCCCGGCCTGGCCAGGCGGGCCGCCGATGGTGAGCAGTGGGGACAGTCGTTTGGGCGATCACACTGCCCCGGTGGTGGCGTGAGGGGGATGCGTGATTTCTCCTCAGCTGCATTCACTGTATGCACTGTGTGAATCTAATGGCGATGGCGCTGCTCTTACCTACAACCTACTTAACTACTAACACTGACTGACCACTCTAACAATACTAGCATGTACATATCCTAAATCCAACCCCCTTCCACGAGCAGCGCCATCTATCTATTATAACTGCCATGTACGCCATCTGTTTTCTGTTCCATGGGCTGCTCTCACTCGCTTTCTTTGTACCTGTTCAAATATACCACCGGTGGGAACCGGAATGAACGAAAAAAAAACTCACCATAAATAAAACATGTTGCATACCAGTCGATCCGTATCGTCAAGCTTAAAACATTCACGGTGTTTTATGGCTCTAGAACAGTGGTCGGCTGGTCGCACGAGTGGTGCCCACTTTATGGGCGCTGGACGGGGCCATTACCCCCACTTGTCATACCCCATTGCAAGCCCCATTGCTTACACAGCAAGGGTCGCTGATATTCGGCCATATCCTTTGACGCCTCTATTGTTCTGCATCTAAATAAAATGCAACACAATTAACTCTCTTTTTATGGAGAGGGAGAGCGGGTGGAGTAAGGATGAAGTCATACATTTTTTATTCATTAGTTACTCGCGTAATGAACAGCGTATTGATTTGTAACGATACGTTCATCCCCCCCCCCCCCCCCAAGTTAATGAATGGTATACCTACCTACTCAAATATTTTCGTGACCCCAGTGACATTTTCATTGAGTTTTTGAAATTTGAATGACCTTCACTCGGTAACTTTCTCTCCGGATCGGCCGGCGGACAAAACGCAAGCGAAGACAATGCGGGGAGTCCGGTGCTCTACCAACTGAGCTACGGAACAGGCAAATGCTCACCATAGATACACCGACTGAACGATCCCTTTATAACTTCAGCGATTGATAAGACAAACAGTGTGTAACTGTATATATAAAATGTAAGTCTCGAAATTGCTATGCCTTTGACCAAAGGTAAGGACAATTTTGCGACCCTTCCATTAGGTATAAGGAAATGGGAGAAAATCAGGGCATGCATGCCTCTTTTTTAGGTAGACAAATGTCAAAGTTAACGAATTTAAACATCATAAAACAATTAAAAATGAAACACTTAATCGGAAAATTGCCACCCACGACCCCTCGTTATGTCCTTGAGGTCATGTCAGGTCATGGAAGGCCTCCATCAGTTTTTTTTTCAATAACTTCTGATAGAGACATGCGACATGCCTGAGCGATGAAAACACCTTAGATCAGTTTGACGATACAAATCGACTGATATGCAACGTGACCTTTACCAGTCAGGTCATGACCTGGACATGAGCTCAAATTTCCCAAATGACATTTGAATGTCAAATTATAGTTCATGCGACGCATCTCGACGAGAGGAGCACAGTACTGAAAAAACAATGTCATAACTTTCGTGAGTCAATAATTATTATAGTAAAAAGGTTCTTCATTAAAACAGCTCAGTAGAGGGGCGGAGGGGGTTCACTGTCCACTCCAACCCTCCCCGGCCCGGCACCGGTTAAACTAGTTGTGCTCTGGAGGTTAAGCCGTTGATGTTAGGTCAAGTCTGAGGACTTTATAGGAACGTTGAAGAGCAATCGAATGCGTTTTTTTCGCGGTGCTGTAGTTCTATTCTTCCCCGAGTTATCGCCAGTTTGTCAATAAATGTTGAAACAGACAACATTTCACCTTTGATGACCTCTGGTCACCTGATATTTGACATTTGACTTGACCTAACCAAAGTACGGTTAACCAACTAACCCAAGTAGTTTTTGACACTCTTTCGAATGCCGCTTACCGCGTGTCGCTACGTGGCCCAGTAGCCAAGTTATAGGGGTCGGGAGGGGGGTTCAAACCTCAGCCCGGCGCCGGTTAAGGAAAGGCACTATCATTTTGGAGGCGCTGCAGATATGCTAAGGGACGACAGCATCATTTTGAGGCGCGCCACCAACTTTTTTAGGGCACTTAAACCACTTTGAGGGCACCACCGACACTGTGAGAAGCGCAATTATCTCTTTGAGCGTTGGGGGTGGCACCATTACATTGAAGGGCGCCATGTGCGCAGTGATGTGGGGCAAACTGACAATGAGGAGCGCCTCCGATACTTAGAAGAGACGCCAACATTACTCGGGGGGGGGGGGGCAACATCGCTTTTATTTTGAGGACGCCACCCCATTGTAAGGGGCGGCACTGTAACTTTGAGGACCGCCGCGGATACTTTAAGGGGCGGTTCCATCATATGGAGGGGCGCTACAGATCGTTAATGGGCGGCAATAGGTATGATATTTAGGGACTCCGATACTTCGAAGGGCGCCACCGTTTGTTTGAGGGTGACATCATCACTTTGAGGGGCACCACCGATACTGTTCGGGGCGCCACCGACACTGCCAGGAGCACAGTCATCACTTTGACCGGCGCTTCTATGACATTTAAGGGCGCCGTGAGCACATTGGGGGGGGGGGGGGGCGGCACCATGACGTTGAGGGGCGTTACGGAAGGTTTGAGGGGCGGCAACATGACATTGAGGAGCGCCTCCGACACTTCGAGGGACACCAGCATTTCTTTGAGAGGCGGCACCTTGACTTTTGAGGAGACACCACCGACACTGTAAGGGGCGGCACCATCACTTTGAGGGGCGCCACGGATGGTTTGAGAAGCGGCACCATTATGTATATGGAGGGACGCTACAGAAAGTTAGAGGGCGGCAACATTGTATTGATGAGTTCCTCCAAAACTTTGAAGGGCGCCACTGACACTGTAAGGGGCGGCACCAGCACTTTTAGGGGCGGCAGCATCATTTTGAAGGCCGCCACCGACTCGTTGACAGGAGACACCATCACATTTAGGGGCGTCACTGGCACTTTGAGGGAGGCACCATCACATTGAGGGGCGCCACCGATGCTGAAAGGGGCGGCATCATCTTCTTGAGGGGCGGCATCATCTGCTTGAGGGGCAGCTCCATCACAATAAGAGGCGATGTGGATACCTAGAGGGGCGGAACCATTATATTGGTGGGTTCCTCTGACACTCCGAAGAGCGTCACTGACACTATGAGGGGCGGCACTAACACTTTAAGGGGCGGCAGCATCATTTTGAGGGGCGCCACCGACTCGTTGGCGGGCAGCACCATCACATTCAGGGGCGGCATCATCTTCTTGATGGGCGGCATCGTCTGCTTGAGGGGCGGCTCCATCACAATGAGGGGCTATGTGGATACCTAGAGGGGCGGCACCATTATATTGGTGGGTTCCTCCGACACTTCGAAAGGCGTCACTGACACTGTAAGGGGCGGCGCCAACACTTTAAGGGGCGGCAGCATCATTTTGAGGGGCGCCACCGACTCGTTGGCGGGCAGCACCATCAATTCAGGGGCGCCACCGGCACTTTGAGGGCGGCACCATCACATTGAGGGGCGCCACCGATACTGAAAGGGGCGGCATCATCTTCTTGAGGGGCGGTATCATCACATTGCGGGGCTCCACAGATGCTTAGAAGGGCGGCACCATTTGGTACATTGAGTGGGGCTACTAACAGATTCAGGGGCGGCACTGTCACATTGAGTTGCGGGATCATCACTTTCTATAGACGGCTGCTTCACTTTAAGAGGCGGCATTATCATTTCGGAGGGCAGCAGCCTCACTATGAATGACGGCACCTAGCCTGCATGTGCGTGCTGCATCCTAGAGGGGGCGGCAACTGGGTCGGCAAACGGCTGTCACTGGGTCGGCATTCTCCGTGACTGGGTCGGCAATTGCCGACCCAGTTAACATGTTAAAATACGCCCTGGTGCTCTTCAGTCAAGAATTTGTATCCGTTACACTTGCGTGGCCGGCAAAAAGTGCAGATAAACTGAACATTATTAGCTGAATACATAGTTCATCGCATGAGCTCGAACAGACTTCATCAACAATGTCAGTGCTATTCTAACGTCTTAACTCCAGCGCATTCCTGCATAACTGCATACGTAGTACCTACGTAAGTACTTTTGAACTTGCGTGTATGAGCAGAAACCCGAGTAAAGCTCCAGGAGCAATAAATACATCCATACTGATTTGAATCTGGAGAAAAGTTAAATATCACACTGGCAAAGCAAAGAAGTCAAAGCTGAAGTTGAGCTCCTTTAGCCCCACCAACTGTATTTCTTGTAAACATTGATAAATATGCTGGCCGGTTTCCGTTCCAGTTTCCGAACGTCTAGACAACTGTGATGAACTCGCCTGCTTCCAGAGCTGGCGTTTCTCTAGCCTCTCAGCGATAGGAATCCCGCTGCCATCAGGGCAGACCAAAATGGACATCCATCGACTGAGACCGACGGCTTCTTCCTGCTATCTCGAGAAAGGAACATTTGTTAGGGCCTAGACTATATTCTCCCCATGAATGGGCTCGGCTGCGCTTCGAGCGCCACCAAATGGTTCATTTTCGTTTAGTTTTATGTTTGTGTGGCGCGTGCAGGCGTATTCGCCACGAGTAGGTTGAAGTTAACTTCACAAATGCGTTTTCATAAGAATGCCAGATGAGTATTAATCATCGTTATTTTAGAATGTCTGTAAACATTATTAGGCCCCCGTTGCCCGCGCCCCACTCTCCGTTCGTTCTCCCCAGTTGGCTGTCAGTGGCCGAAACCACTCACGTCGGCTCGTTCTCAGGGTAGGCTAGCCCCTAAAACGCACCGGCGGAGTAGTAACGACGAGTATAGTGTGGGTTATCTATGTTCAGATTCGGAATTGTTATTGTTATCAATACCTCCTATGGTCTAATCTACAACATCGGTGAGGGTGGGTGGGGAGCTTTCCTCTCGCGTTTCACTCCGTTCACCGTCCGTCGCTGTCGACGACTGGTGAGCGTGCCACTTTCCGTCGACGGCCCGCCCGTCCCCGCGCCCCTTCCAGACACCCCTCCCGGGTCTGCCCTGCGTCTGTCGACGGGGCGATTAGCCACGGTCACGTTCGGTGGCGCCGTGGCAGGGTCCTAACCTTCCATAGCCGCGTCGCCGCTATGAGTTGATTAGGCCCCCGTTGCCCGCGCCCCACTCTCCGTTCGTTCTCCCCAGTTGGCTGTCAGTGGCCGAAACCACTCACGTCGGCTCGTTCTCAGGGTAGGCTAGCCCCTAAAACGCCAAATACACCCAATGGAATTCTGTATTGTATACATTATACAAGCACGCTCCTCTCCTCTTTCTACTCTCTGCCTTTCTCTCCATTCGTCCTCTCGCCCCCCCCCCCCCCGCTACCCATAGCACTGCTCCCGTCAGGAGTGGGAGTGCTCCCACCGGGTCGGCCAGGAAGCGGCCGACTGCCGGCGGCAGCGCGTCGGCGCTGCCCAGAGCGTACGGACACTGGCGGCTGCACAGGCCCCGCGCGAAGCGAAAACATAATTCGGCGTCAGCCCCCGGCCGTCTGCTGGTTCTGGAATAGGTGTCTGGTCCTGATCTGGCCTGGGTGGGGAGGAATTGGTCTAGGTCGGCGTGGGTCAAATATTCCCACGGGCGCAGGGACATGGCCTGGCGGGCCCGTGCGTCCATGCCCCGC